GGAATTCTTAAATTGGCACAAGAGATGCCAAATGTTCAAGATTTTCAGAAAAAAGAAAACTGGTATGAAAAATTGAACCGTTGGGAGGATGCATTTGATGCTTATAAAAAGCGAAGTGAAGAAAATCCAAATGATTTTGAAGCAACGCTTGGTGTGATGAAATGTATGTTTTCTTTGGGCAATACTGATGGTTTATCCACTCTAGTTCAAGAGAAATGGCATGAATCAACAGATGAAATGCGTGAATCAATGTCAATATATGCTGCTGCTGGAGCTTGGGCATTAGGTCAATGGAGTTTAATGGAAGATTATATTTCAACTATAAAACAAGATTCGCCAGACCGTACATTCTATCAAGCAATCCTTGCTTTACATAAAAATCAATATAACGATGCAATGGTTAACATTGATAGAACCCGTGATCTGTTAGATACTGAATTAACTGCTCTTGTTGGTGAAAGTTATAACAGAGCATACAGGTATATAAATACTTATTTGTATATATATGGAGTGAATTTATTTATTTTTATCTTTTAGTTAATCATTCATTTTAGTGTTGTTGTACGTGTTCAAATGTTATCAGAATTGGAAGAAATTATAACGTACAAACAATTTTCTGATCAGCCTGATCGCCAAGCAACTATTAGGAAAACTTGGATGGAAAGGTAACAATAGTTTTTTTACTATTTTTTTTCATAATTAATGAATTATATTAAAATCATCGATTGCTGGATTTATTTGAAGATTGAAAGGGTGTCAACGTAATGTAGATGTTTGGCAACAAGTTTTAAAAGTTCGTGCATTGGTAATTTCACCAAAGGAAAACGTTGAAATGTGGATTAAATTTGCAAATCTTTGTAGAAAGAGTGAACGATTGGAACTTGCTGAAAAAACGTTGAGAGAGTTATTAGTTGGTGATAAAAGGCTAGAGACAATTCATCCATCAGTAAATTTTCCAATTAATATATATAATGAAAAATTTCAATACACATATACATATAAATACTCTATAAAATACTAATAATATTAACTCGATAACAATTAAAAAAAAAAAAGGTATTAACAAGAGCAGCTCCTCAAGTTGTGTATGCACATTTACGTTCTTCAAGGATTTTACTGATAGGATATCAAATGATCTCCGTGTTGGCAATACAAGTTTACTTGCCAGATGTTACCTTAAAAAAGGTGAATGGCAAAAGACTCTTCAGGATGATTGGGAACCGGCATGTTGTTTTATTATTGAATATTCTTGTATCTATTATTCCTTTTATACATGAATTAATAATGATAGTTTATTTTATTGTATATATATATTATCAAGCTATTCCAGAGATTTTACAATCTTATTTACATGC